CCCCAGAAATCAATATTACAAATGAGGAGATTAGTTGTGGAGCTAAAGGGAACCACCTGTGTTTCCATTTTTATTAAATTATGAGTAATAAAAAAAGGATTTATTCCAGATGCTGTTAAATTGAGACAACTTGGACATTTCAAATCCTCAAGCCCTGCACCAACCATTTGTGAAAGTAAGCTCTTCAGCCTGTTTAAAGAGAATAATTTCTAGACTCCCTAATGCAAACACATCGGGGAACAGAATTTTTCTGAACCAAGTCCCTCCCCTTTTATCTAGACCACTCACCATCTGCTTTCCAAGCAAGCCAATCCAGGTTCTAAGGCACAGGCAGGTGTAGTGTCCCTTAGTGTTTGTACAGGTAGCACTTTCCCCACAGGTTAGGGCGCCCAGTTGATACTCATCAATATTTGACAGAAAAACGGGAGTAGGGGAGAAAAAAGTCGAATGAAGGGGAGGGAAGAGGTTTATACTTTGGGAAAGCCCAACACTCTGGAAAGGAAACCCTTTCAACCTCTGTCATACTACATGCTCTCAGAACGCTATGCAATTTTAGGCTTAAAATATGATTGAGATAGGGAAAAGAAGATACACTGCTTAGTGGATATTCAGCTTCTGTAAACGTGATAGAAAAGTTCAGGAGTGGTTAATGGTGATGGTTGAACATCATGAACATGTTTAACATCACTGAACTGTACTTATAATGATTGTTATTTATTTACCCTGATCAAAAATAAAACGTAGAAACTTATGATTGTGAATGCTGGAAAGAAAGATGATTTGGGTACCTTGGCTCTATGTCCACTCAGGTGTTCTAAGCTCCAGACTTAAGGCTGGATGGGCCCCTGCTGCTTGAAAGGAATGAAGAAGGCTTCCCCACATGAGTGGCTAAGTAGGCAATATTGGACATTGGTAAACTCTCTCTAGGCAGACAATGAGAAGGTCAGCTCCTAAAAATTCATAGTTAACTTTCGTAAATAAATGTTCAGCCATTGACATATTTTAGGTCAAATAAAATCATATTTGCTTTCTCATACAGTATAAATGAAGCCATCCCATTTATCCCCAACTATTACCTTTTTCTTTCTCAACTGCCACCATCCTAATACTACTTCTCGATTAATTACATTACTACCAAAAAGCAGCCTGATAGATAGTCCACAACCCACTGCTCTCATACTCGATACCTAAACACCAGTACCCGATTGTTTTCAAAACCAAATTTCCCATCATACCACCAACTCACTCAAATACATAGGGATTGCCCATTGCCTAGAGCTGTGCTCCCCACAATGATAGCCCCTGGCTGTGAGTGCTGAGCACCTGGCAGGTATCTTGAGCTGAATTGAGATGTAAGTGTGAGACACACGTCAGATGTTAACGACTTGGTGTCTGTCTGCCATGGGTTCAATTGTGTGCCTCCAAACGAGAGATTCAGATCCTATCAGAGCTCATGGCAGCAACAGTCAAGAGACTAAATGACACACTGCATAGGGTAAATTTGTTGCACATGACCTCTGTAAAGTGTTGAAAAGCAAGGAGGCTCCTTGAAGACTACTGTGTGCCTGATCCAAGCTAGGGTATTTTCAATTGCCTCATATGCATGTGAAAGTTGGACATTAAATAAGGGAGACAAGGAACCGATCGCCATGATCAACATATTATACTTATACCTCCTGCCCCCAACAACAGAAACAGGGGTGAAGGGAGACAGAGGATGGCGTAAGATATGAAAATAATAATAATTTATAATTTATCAAGGGTTCATGAGGGTGGAGGAGGGAAGAGAAAAACGAAGACTTGAAACCAAGGGCTCATGTAGACAGGAAATGTTCTGAAAAGGATGACGGCCACATATGTATGAATGTGTTTGACACAAGGGATAGATGGATTGTTAGAAGAGCAGTAAGGGCCCAATAAAATGATTTAAAAATAATAATAATAATAAGGGAGGCCGAAAAAATTTGATGCATTGAATTATGGTTCTGGCAACGAATATTGAAAGTACCATCCACTGCCAAGGAAAAACAAAACCAACTATATCTTAGAAGAAGTACAGTCAGAATGCCCCTCAGAGGCAAGGATGGCAAGACTCCATCCCACGTACTTTAGAGATGTTGTCAGGAGAGACCAGTGCTTGGAGAAGAGTGCTGCGTTGTCAGGTAGTGAAGAAGAGGAAGACCCTGGACAAGAAGGACGGACACGGAGGCCGCCACACTGGGCTCAGACATAACGGCGATGTGAGGGTGCTGCAGAGCGGAGCTGGGCTTCCTTC